GGTGTTCCTCTTCAAGAGAGGAATGGGGCGGGGAAAACCTGTGAAACCCACCACCAAGAGCTGATGCCAGGCCAAGGATGGGTCGCGTGAAGCTAAAGATGTGTCTCTGTAGCCACCAGAGAGGCTAAGAAGCATAAACTGGGGAGTAAGTGGCAGTAGAACCACAGCCTCTCATGGCTGGGGACATGCTACATACAACTCAAGCTCCTCATGGAAGAGGAGCCCCATCACTGGTGGCCTCAGACAACGTCTGAAGGCGCAAGCGAGAGGCTCCGGAGCGCTGCGCAGGGGACGCCCCGGGCCGGGTGTCGATTTCACCGCGTCTCTGTCTGGCGCAGGCACGACGACTTCGACTTCATCTCGGGCACACGCATGAGGAAGCTTGCGCGGGAGGGCGAGAACCCGCCTGACGGCTTCATGGCCCCCAAGGCCTGGAAAGTCCTGACCGAGTACTACCAGTCGCTGGAAAAAAAGCATTAACACTACTCCTCCTCCGTAGAGATCCTTCTGTTAAGAGTGAGCAATGATTGAGTGATTCCCGATGACACAGATCAGTTACGTGGCATTTCCAGCGCTCTGACCGGAGGATTTTCCTACCTGGGTCAGAGTGTTTTTTTTTTTTAACTAATCAGAAATACTTTGAGCCTGGTCCTTCTCCCCTTGATGCTGCGTCCCTGTGGAGCTGGAAGGGCAGCAGGCCCTTCATTCCCGGCTGCAGGAAGCCCAGCACGGCCTCCAGACGGGCCGGTGGGATTGTTCTGTTGCCGCCAGGGCCGTGCAGCAGCCCCCGGTTCAGAGCTGGAGCCTCGGCAGCGGGATAAAACGGTGTCTGTGCCCTGCGTGGAGCAGCAATGAGGAAGTGCCTCCCCGCTCCCCTCGCCCAGCGCTGCCCGAGGGGCGGAACAGCTGCTGGAGCGAGGAGCAGTTGCTGCTGCTGGGAAATGGCTGGAAATGAGCACTCGATGCTTGGATCCAAGCACCGCCCTCCAAGTTGTGCCTTATGCAATTTCTGCTAACAAAGAGCAGGGGTTTTTAATGCCCTTTTTTTTTTTAAAAGGGCTCTTTTTTAATCAGCCTTGGTCATCACCAGTTCCTTGTAGCCGAGACAATTGCTCACTGGTCTTCACTGCTTCCTCCTGCTTGACCTCTCCGGTCAAAACAAAACGTGGGCCGAGCATTACTGGTACTTCCAGTTCAGCTTTGACCCCTGCACTCGTGGCCTGATGGGCCCACGGGCAGGGGAAGGCTGTCCTGGGAAGCACCAGAGAGCCCAGGGGATCGCCGAGATCAATCTGGAGGCAGCAAGTGAAACCTGGGGGAGCTGCTTGTGTGCTTTCAGGAGCATCCTCCCACCTGGCAGGGCCTGAGCCCCAGTTCCTCTGCCCACACTCCTCCCATCCAAAAAGCAAATTAAAGGCAAAACAACAAAGTCAGAGCGTGAGATGGGGCTACAGGGCTGTACCTGGTAAGCTAGGTGAGCTGGCTCAGGCACTCGCCCTCACCCATAGCCATAGGCTACATAGCCATAGGCTGCAGGTGACCTGATTTTACTTTGTAGCTGTGGGATGGTGACACTGGCTCTGGCTGGGGGACACCTGCTCAGGGTGCTCAGGGTTTTTTTGGGGAGGGGAGGGAGGAGAGGGGAGGGGAGACAGCTGTGCACTTCATTCTTATGGCAACTACCCCAACTGATGATTTTTGTACTTGTTCTTTTTTAGTTAGACAACCCAGGACTGGTCAGAATGAGTTTCAAATGAAATGGAAATAATGTTGTCCTCCTCTTGTACTTCTGGTTGAATTACAAATGGATCCATGCTCAGTAAAACCAATCACGCTCCCGCTTTAATGTAGGGTAGTGAGCTACAATGCGAGCTAGAACCTGTTTTGCTGTGGCCATGGTCTTCTCTAAAGCTACATATATCATTGGGAATACTTCTGAAAAAAAGTATCATCTTTTTTTTTAATTTGTGAGCTGTTGGGGTTGGGGTTTTTTGCAATCTTTTTAAAGTATTTGGAGCAAAGAGCCCAAAGCTGTGTTATATACCTCAAGAAAACCGCCATGATGCCCACATTCGTAGCTGAAAGCCCACAAGCACCAGTGCCTTTGCCACCTGGGCCCTCTGGCAGGGACAGGGAAGCCAAAATACTCCCATTTCCAGTTGCAATAGTTGACATTTCTAAGTAGCGAAATAACGCTGTTGCTGCTCGTCTGAAAATAATCAAACAGTTAAAAAAATCCCACCCCTGCAGTAAAGCCAAATGGTTACAGCAAAACATAAATGTTGTATTATTCTTTTAACTAGCGTAGCATACTGATTACCTCTGATTAAAATAGAGTATGTGGACTAGTTTTGTTTGGTTTTTTTTTCTTTTTTTTATATAGTGTATTTATTAAAGACATGAGACTGGAATTTGTACAACCAATGCATCTCATGATTTAATATATTCTGAACTTGATACTCTGCAACAAAACTCTCACTTTTAGTAGGAATAAATATTTATACATGTAACTAACTCTCACTTTGTAATTTTTTGTTGGAGGGTATGTGTGTGTGTGAAGAATTACAACCCCGTGGTTCAGCTGGGGCTGTGAGAGGTCTGCAGCAGTAGGAGCCCCCTTGGTTCCTGCCTTGCGTGCTCAGCGAGTCTGACCAGGGTGCCCACGTCCTTTTGGCTACCTCGGCTAACTGGCCTTTTGGCTGTTGGGGCTGCACAGG